CAGTGACTGCTGCTTGGAATCGTACTACCTTACTAGCTTAGTGTATGTACCTTCGGAAGATCTTCGGATGAGTTGACAATGTCTTTGACTCCTGCCTTATCATTGATAAGGCAGGGATGGATGGCATCACTGAAATTCCGCCTACCAGTTAGGCGGATAGTGGCAAGCGTCAGGCGTTCATCCGCTCAATACAACAACCAAACCCCTTCGACGACGACCAAACACAACTGCGCGCTGCCGCAGACCTGCAAGCTCCCCTACAGACTGCAGACCACTCTGGCCAGCCGTGCATCTGCCGGTGGTCCCGTCGTCCTCGTTATCTCTATCTTCGCGAGCCGCTTTCAAATAGAGGGGTTGCCTTGGCCAGGTCCACGGCCCGCGCAGTCGCCATGTTGAAGATTTGGTCCATGGTATGTTACCGCGCTCCGGGCAAGGCTACTTCGCAGACTGACGTCTCTGGGCGCGCTTATAGAAAAAAGAGCAACAAAAAGCTGAGAATGCGGAGAACGCAGCAGCAGGCGGCAAGAAGAAGAAGGTGACAGCAGCGCAACTACGCGTGCAAAAGGGTTTGTGGCTCCCCTCCCCCCACGACCCCGATCGCCACGACCTGACATGTCGCTAACTCGCTGCTTGCGCCCAGATCTATCGGAGCTCTCCCTGGGCAAGACGATGAAGACAGACTTCCCCGACCCGGACGACATCCTGCACTTTACGCTGACGATCGAGCCGGACGAGGGCATGTACCGATCAGGGGTATTCAACTTCACATTCGACATCAACCAAAACTTCCCGCATGACCCCCCAAAGGTGCGGTGTAAGGAGAAAATTTACCACCCGAACATCGATCTCGAGGGCAAGGTGTGCCTGAACATTCTGCGTGAGGACTGGAAGCCTGTGTTGAACTTGAACGCCGTCATCGTCGGCCTGCAGGTGCGTTCCTGGAAACATACCCCCCCTTTGTGGCTCCGCGGCGAGTAGTCGGCTTACCTTTTTGATCGGCAGTTCCTCTTCCTCGAACCGAACGCCTCGGATCCCCTCAACAAGGAGGCTGCAGAGGACCTTCGATCGAACCGCGATGGCTTCAAGCGCAATGTTCGCGCCTCGATGGGCGGCGGCTCCGTTAAAGGTATAAGCTACGACCGGGTGCTGAAATGAGGGCGAATTGCAAGAAGAGGTCTGAGGCGGTGAGATAGAAGCATAGTGGCTGTTGCAGCGGGATCGAAATGTCGACTGACCCGCCGGTTGACCTACAGGTGGTCCCTGGCTGGGTGCAGAGGAGCATTCCAGACGAGAAGCATCCCCAGCGGGTGAGGGTGGGCGCGGCGAACAAGGACATAGGCAGAAGCATGCAGCATTACATGGCGTTTTCACATTCTGCGGGCAGACGAGACTGGTGTCTGGGTCTCTGACTGTGGTGATGTGCGTTTGGACCTAACATGGAGAAGTCACACTCGGTTTGACCGGGCCAGGCCACGGTGGACATGAGCAGCCAGGCGCAGCACGCGGCGACCGGAGCACGACCGGGCTAGTGACTCACTGACGACAGCCTCGCCTCCGATGATCGTGGCCTCCGGTCGGCTTCCGTTGCTTCTCCAGGATCGGAGGCACAGCTACCTACCCCTGACCACCGGTCCCCGGCGTGGCCCCGACATCGTGTCACTGGCTGGCAGCGATTTGTGTACGGTGGATGACTCCCCAGTGTGTAGCTCCATTGAAATGCTCCAGCACCGGAGGGGAAACCGGCGAGCCGACAGTCTGTGGGATGGGCCCTGGGGCCCTGAAATCGGGGCGTCGAGCAGGCATTCAGGGCACACTCCACGAGCGGATCTCAGGGCACCGGCCAGCCAGGGCACTCACTCCACACCGACAAGTCAGTCAGCAGTCAGACTTGCAGCGACCAGATGGTAGCGTCTACCCCTCGTCAGGCCCAGACCCCTGCGGCGCCTCAAGTCGCCACTACCAATCACGAGCTTTCCGGGGCGGTGCTCCACATCACAGCTCATCCCTCCAACAACGGTTCGCCGCAAGCAGGAGCAGCCCAGAGGTGCAGCGCCGAAGTCGGTGAGCTCTGACACTCTCTGCTCCAATAAAAAATTTCCCCATTGAATTGACCTTGGTCATCGGTCAACTCCCTCCGAACACTTAAACTTGACTCTCAAACCCATTCCATTACCATCTTCCCTCCATCTCCCTCCTCGTCCGATTCCCCCAATCTCCCCTCAATCACACATCAGTCACAATGGCTTCCCGCAGCTTCTCCAAGGCCCTGCGCCCCATGGCGCGTCAATTGACCGCCACCGGCACCCAGCAGCGCACCTTCGTCGCCGCCAGGAGCTTGGTGCGAGCTTCCGCTCAGGTCACCAAGGCTTTCGCCGGCCCCGTCCAGCAGCAGGCTCGCGGTGTCAAGACCGTTGACTTTGCCGGCCACAAGGAGGACGTCTACGAGCGTGCCGACTGGCCCCAGGAGAAGCTCCTTGTACGTTCTCCGCCCCTTCCCATCCACCTCACCTTGGTGCGCGGCTGTGACGGGACTTGACCGCCCGGTCCACCATGAGCGACTTTAGGGACATGTGACTAACAATTGCCCAAAGGACTACTTCAAGGACGACACCCTCGCCCTCATCGGCTACGGCTCGCAGGGTCACGGCCAGGGCCTCAACCTCCGTGACAACGGCCTCAACGTCATCATCGGCGTTCGCAAGAACGGCCAGTCCTGGAAGGACGCCCAGCAGGATGGCTGGGTCCCCGGCAAGAACCTGTTTGATGTTGATGAGGCCATCAGCCGTGGTACTATCATCATGAACCTCCTCTCCGACGCCGCTCAGAGCGAGACCTGGCCCGCCATCAAGCCCCAGCTCGTTAAGGGAAAGGTATGCCATCTGTCATGAGAACGACACCTGTCTCTCAAGCTTTCTTCAGCGCGAGTCATGTGGCTAACCTTATATTCTAGACCCTCTACTTCTCCCACGGCTTCTCCCCCGTCTTTAAGAAGGAGACCAAGGTCGACGTCCCCACCGACATTGATGTCATCCTCGTCGCCCCCAAGGGCTCCGGCCGCACCGTCCGCTCCCTCTTCCGTGAGGGCCGCGGCATCAACTCCTCCTTCGCCGTGTTCCAGGACGTCACTGGCAAGGCCCGCGAAAAGGCCCAGGCCCTCGGTGTCGCCATCGGCTCCGGCTACCTGTACGAGACGACCTTTGAGAAGGAGGTCATCTCTGACCTGTACGGTGAGCGTGGCTGCCTGATGGGCGGTATCCACGGCATGTTCCTCGCTCAGTACGAGGTCCTCCGTGAGCGCGGCCACAGCCCCAGCGAGGCCTTCAACGAGACCGTCGAGGAGGCCACCCAGTCCCTGTACCCCCTGATCGGTGCCAATGGCATGTACTGGATGTACGAGGCCTGCTCCACCACCGCCCGCCGCGGGTGCCATCGACTGGAGCCCCAAGTTCAAGGACGCCCTGAAGCCCGTCTTCAACGACCTGTACAACGCTGTCGAGGACGGCACCGAGACGAGGCGTTCGCTCGAGTATATCGTTC